TTTATGGACATGATTATAGGATATTTATCATAAATTGTGTACAGAAACTTGTATATTTTTCTTCACGTAATTTTATTACACGTCTATGAAATATATATGTATAGATTATATTGGTTTTTTTTCATACAAATATAAACCTTATTACCTCGGTATATAAAGATAGAAAAAGCAACACGTGCAGGATCAGTTGTACGATTTCGTACAATACTTTTGTTACAAACCAGTTCTTTTACTGCCAAATGAATCGATTATTGTATATCATTCATTTTAATTAATGTTTTGGCGAGATAGGATTTTATATCGTAGATCACTTATGCTTTCGCGAAATATATTGTTTGATAGAGTTGTGTTGTAATACACATAAAAAAAGTCTTAGGAATAAAAAATTACTGAATGCATTTAGGTATATACTGATCCTTTTTTAAATTTACATCGTGTCACAGTAATATAATATTTAATTTATTCGGTTTATTTCCCTTCTGTCCTCTCTCTATGCTTAGGTAATAATAGATTATATAATAGGAAGGATATGAGATCATTCCATTGCTTTGTATGAAAAGAAAAAAAAAAGAAAAATTTGTGTGACCGCGCGCACATGTATGTATTTTAAATCCTTAAATCCAAAATTCTCGTATTGTTGTATCAATTATAACACAGATTCATACTAAGGGCACAGAAGAGATTTTACAAAATGTTTATAAATCCAATAGCATATTTAATCTAATTTAATCACAGAGTACGAAATGATTCAAGTAAATGTTTATGTGATGTATTAAATTATATTTAATTGAGCTCGCTCTCTCTCTCTCTCCCCCTTCCCCTCTCCCTCTCTATACGCGCGCACGTACGTACGCACATAGGGTGTCCCATTTTTAATAATGCATTAATATATTTTTAATAGTGTATAAGATTTCTGGAAAACTATAGTAGATACGAAAAAATGTTTCAAATAAAAGTTATATGATTCGGAGGGAGACATAAGAAGGTACCATTGATTTGGATAGCGTCGCCAAGATCAAGTTAAGGTCACATCGATTTTTTTTAATGGAATATCCTATTTTTCATTGTAAAATCTAATAGCTGCTGTCGAGAGCTTTTCAGAACGCTATAAGAAAATATTTTTTCATTAAGTATTTTTTGAGTTATGATGTTTGAAAGTTACAGTACTGCCGGCATTAGCATTACCCAAAGTGTCCGACGGCTAAAATCTCTTGAAGTATTACTGTTCAAGATTATGTTCTAGATATCATTTATCAAGATCAAAGCCAATGGAGGTTGTATCTCTTATTTTCATTTTTACGTAAAAATGAATTTTTAGTGCAAAAATGGAAAAAGAGGAATAATTTTTAATGACCTTGATCTTGACAAATGTTATCCAGGACATAATTCCGAACAACATTCAAGAGGTTTTAGCTGTCGGTCGGACACCTTGCGTAATGCTAATGCTGGCGGTACTGAACTTTCAGTTGTAACTCGAAAAGTACGTAATGAAAAATAACTTTATTACAGTGTTTTGGAAAGCTCTTAACATCGCTTATTAGATTCTGTCATCAAAAATAGAATGTTCCATAAAGGAAAATTGATGTGATCTTGATCTATCTTTGGCAACGTCACATAGTCAAATCAATGGTATCTTCTTATGTCTCCATCCGAAACATACAACTTTTGTTTGGAACATTTTTCTGTATCTACCATAGTTTTCGAGAAATCTTAATTTATTATTTAAAATGGTGCGTGCGTGCGTGCGCGCGCGTGGGTGTGTGTGAGTAGAGTGAGAGAGAGAGAGCGCTGTGTGTGTGTGTGTGTGCGTGTGCGCGCGCGCGCGCGCGCGTGTGTGTAGGGCATCCTGAAAGAAACAACAAAGTTAGCATTCTACTTGATTTCTGACTGCTATATGGGATTGGATCAACAGTACAGTATTTATTTAGATGTAACATGCTAAATATTCAAATAATAATCAAACATCTAAGACTGAAAACAATGGGTAATGTATTATAATTATCAACCTTTCTATATTGTTAATATAAGGATTACAAAAATAAAGAAAAAGAAAACTTATAAGATTGTTAATATATGTTGAGATGAGCGAAAGATGAGATTTGCTATAGATGTTTATGGACATGATTATAGGATATTTATCATAAATTGTGTACAGAAACTTGTATATTTTTCTTCACGTAATTTTATTACACGTCTATGAAATATATATGTATAGATTATATTGGTTTTTTTTCATACAAATATAAACCTTATTACCTCGGTATATAAAGATAGAAAAAGCAACACGTGCAGGATCAGTTGTACGATTTCGTACAATACTTTTGTTACAAACCAGTTCTTTTACTGCCAAATGAATCGATTATTGTATATCATTCATTTTAATTAATGTTTTGGCGAGATAGGATTTTATATCGTAGATCACTTATGCTTTCGCGAAATATATTGTTTGATAGAGTTGTGTTGTAATACACATAAAAAAAGTCTTAGGAATAAAAAATTACTGAATGCATTTAGGTATATACTGATCCTTTTTTAAATTTACATCGTGTCACAGTAATATAATATTTAATTTATTCGGTTTATTTCCCTTCTGTCCTCTCTCTATGCTTAGGTAATAATAGATTATATAATAGGAAGGATATGAGATCATTCCATTGCTTTGTATGAAAAGAAAAAAAAAAGAAAAATTTGTGTGACCGCGCGCACATGTATGTATTTTAAATCCTTAAATCCAAAATTCTCGTATTGTTGTATCAATTATAACACAGATTCATACTAAGGGCACAGAAGAGATTTTACAAAATGTTTATAAATCCAATAGCATATTTAATCTAATTTAATCACAGAGTACGAAATGATTCAAGTAAATGTTTATGTGATGTATTAAATTATATTTAATTGAGCTCGCTCTCTCTCTCTCTCCCCCTTCCCCTCTCCCTCTCTATACGCGCGCACGTACGTACGCACATAGGGTGTCCCATTTTTAATAATGCATTAATATATTTTTAATAGTGTATAAGATTTCTGGAAAACTATAGTAGATACGAAAAAATGTTTCAAATAAAAGTTATATGATTCGGAGGGAGACATAAGAAGGTACCATTGATTTGGATAGCGTCGCCAAGATCAAGTTAAGGTCACATCGATTTTTTTTAATGGAATATCCTATTTTTCATTGTAAAATCTAATAGCTGCTGTCGAGAGCTTTTCAGAACGCTATAAGAAAATATTTTTTCATTAAGTATTTTTTGAGTTATGATGTTTGAAAGTTACAGTACTGCCGGCATTAGCATTACCCAAAGTGTCCGACGGCTAAAATCTCTTGAAGTATTACTGTTCAAGATTATGTTCTAGATATCATTTATCAAGATCAAAGCCAATGGAGGTTGTATCTCTTATTTTCATTTTTACGTAAAAATGAATTTTTAGTGCAAAAATGGAAAAAGAGGAATAATTTTTAATGACCTTGATCTTGACAAATGTTATCCAGGACATAATTCCGAACAACATTCAAGAGGTTTTAGCTGTCGGTCGGACACCTTGCGTAATGCTAATGCTGGCGGTACTGAACTTTCAGTTGTAACTCGAAAAGTACGTAATGAAAAATAACTTTATTACAGTGTTTTGGAAAGCTCTTAACATCGCTTATTAGATTCTGTCATCAAAAATAGAATGTTCCATAAAGGAAAATTGATGTGATCTTGATCTATCTTTGGCAACGTCACATAGTCAAATCAATGGTATCTTCTTATGTCTCCATCCGAAACATACAACTTTTGTTTGGAACATTTTTCTGTATCTACCATAGTTTTCGAGAAATCTTAATTTATTATTTAAAATGGTGCGTGCGTGCGTGCGTGCGCGCGCGTGTGTGTGTGTGAGTAGAGTGAGAGAGAGAGAGCTCTGTGTGTGTGTGTGTGTGCGTGTGCGCGCGCGCGCGCGCGCGTGTGTGTAGGGCATCCTGAAAGATTTTGCCAATCGCTTTTGTGTAGATAGAGTGGACTAAACTGAGTCGAAAAATCCTCTACTTAAATCCTCTATTAAAGATAGCCGAATAAGCGTCCGTTCGGCCTATTAATGCCAAAGCGTACGCCTATTGTTGGCTCGGCACGCGAGTCATGGGGAGTGGGAATAGCTTGGTAGGCGAGCTTCCAAGTCGCGCTTATTCGACTATCTTTAACGATTAGTATCTCAATAACTTTTGCGAGCATTGCAAAATGGTAGAGGATTTTTCGACTCAATTTAGTCCGCTCTGTCTACACAAAAAAGCGATTGGCAAAAACTTTCGGGACACCCTATGTATATATATATATATAGTTTAAATGTCAAAAATAGTAAACGTTATTTTTATAACAGTATAGAATTTTATAATCTAGCTTAAATTAATCTAGAAACCAATCTAAAAACAATTTTAAAATTTTGCTAATTCATAGTATAGCCTAAACATAACACAATTCAAGCACCGTAAAAATTATATTACTTCTAACATAAATAGTACATTTAAAATATAAATTTAGGTACAAATTAACAGTTTTAATACATCTCTCTAATTATATATATAAAAAGAATCTAATTTATAGAATAAGTACCAATAAACAATATTCTCTTCTTTGCCAATAGTTTGAAATCTGCTTACTCAAAAGTGCACATGCAAGAAACACACTTCGCTGTTAATTCTAAAATAGTTTTATGGAAAATCAAAGCAAAGAAATATTTAAGCTCCTTCCCATATTGAAATCTGGAAGTACTGAATATCTCTTGTAAGTAATAAACCGAAACGCAATTATGCAAAAAGTTTCGGTAATAGTACATTTCTATCTATTAACATATAGCGCAAGAATTAACATTTGTCCCAACACCCATCGCATAATAGTCATATTATACAAATAATATTAGAAGTTACAGCAATTAAATTCAGTGTCTCCTCTTGCATTACAAAATCTCAATGTTCAACCTAGTCTCGTTTATAATAATTTATAGAAGTTTTTACTGTTATCTTATTGTTAAACATCATTCCACTTTAAGAAAATGTCTATAATCAGTGAACTGACCAATGACCGTATTTGATATTGTGTACAGTTTTATCACTCAAGAACTAAGGAAGCACTAGCATAACTGACAGAACTGTCATTCATATTGTTACATTGACTACTTTGAGCATATTTCAAAAATTTTAGATTCATTCTTTGACCATTTGTATTTCCTTTAAGACTGTGAATTGCCTGTATGAAGATATAAAATACAACATTGATTAAAATAATTAGAATCTAACTCACTTAGGATCTGGGCACAATAGAACAAATATTAGGGACAGGAATAAATATTAAGATTTCAACCTATCAGATACCAGTTACACTAGAATACACGATTTCTTATAAATTAAAATCTCAATATTTATTTCTATTCCTATTATTTCCTCCATTGTGCGCAGGATCTTATCTATTTAATTTTCTTGCTTTATTACCTGCAACAAAACGCCAATTGGATGTCGGCCACATATAGTATTGCCATATTTCTTAAGATATTCGGTGAACATTAGAGGATTCAAAGTCTCTATAATGTCCATACCCTAATTTAATGAATATATGTAACATTATAGACATTGCAATATACTTAAATTACGAAATTAATCGTCACCCTTGCTCAAAGAAAAGAAATTAAAAACCATACCATTTTGTCGAGATTTTGAATAGATCTATGTATAGGTCCACATGATCTATCATAGTAAGTATAGCGAAAACGTTGTCCCCAGTGACAGAAATCTGAAGAAATGACGAACAATGTTTGCGGATCAGCCATGTAGGGCGCTAACAATCTCCCGTAAAGAGCCTCTCTTTCCGGACTCAAAGATCCCACCAAAATTGGGATTATAGTAAATGAGTCCTTGAATCTATAAATACATATATACATATCTTATTATTATCTTATTATTATATAGTAATAAACAGAGAGAAATTATACATGTCCCTAGCTTGCTACAACCAATATAATTTTACCAATATAATTTTGTGTATTTCTGATATATTTTAGATAATTAATTTATGTATCTATAAACATACCCTTCCATAACTTTAGCAATAAACGGCAACTGCATCTCAATGCTATGCTCTTCTTCATCTGTGTTCAAATCCATGCATTCAAAATGACCAGTTTCTTCAAGTTCTCTTCTCACTGTTAAAAATATATCAGTTTTGTAAAAAAAATTCAAGGATTGTACTTTATATGCTATATACAAGAAGCATTTTTCCTTACATAAAATGTATTTTCTTCACTATTTGTTATAAGTTAACCATTTAAAAAAAAAACAAAATATAAATATGTTAATGCAGGGATAATAACGAAATGTACATATAAGCACCTTGTTGATCAATAAGTAGATCATATAACGGTGTTCGGTAAATGGAAGCCGAAGATAGGGCACAACCTGGTAATCTCACATGATGAGAAGGCCCTAGAATAAATATCCTACGGCTGCATAACAGCACGTTGCACGGTTCATTTGACTGAGAAATTTGAAAAATTACAAACTAAACTATATATTATAAAGGCTACTTTATATGAAAATTTACATTGATTAAACTATCGCAATATAAACTGATATTCTCTTCTAATGATTACAATAAGATAATATGATTACAAAATAACATAAATGTAATTTATACAGATAGGTTTAAATTATATTTTTACATTTTAAATTGTGATTAAACATTTGTTTATAAAATGCTAAGATAATGTAGCTAATATAATTCACACTTACACAACTACAGGACTAATTTGTCGGTAAGCAAAACCAGCACATGCCCCACAATAGCTGTATCCTGCATGACTGTAAATTGATAGTTTAATGTATACACATATGAGAGTATGTGTATCTTAATAAATTTGAAGAAAATATTATATTGGACTACTAACGGGGCAATGATGGCTCTTGCGGGTCCATGGGATAAATCAGCGGCGCTTAACCAACCTTCCAACTGTTTACTCAGTTCTGAACCTATGGTAAATAGAGATTTTAACTTTATGATAATACATGAATTAAAATTTTTATTATAAAATAGAAATACACACATATATATATATATATATACACACATATATATATATATATATATATATATATATACATATATTTAAAATATAGATGTTTGTTTGATGAATTATAGAAATTTATTTCTCCTTTGAGCAAATAATAATATATACATATATATATATATATATCCCAAGTCCAATTCATCGAGATTTTCTATCAAGTAAAGTTGTCGACAATTTTACTTGATAGAATGCGAGGATAAGTGAAAATAAGTGAAAAGTAAAATGCATTTTTCTTACCATTGTCCGAGTACCAACTACCAGCGTGAGAAGCTCTCCTGATTAATGCCATTTTTTGGCCGAACACGTCGTGTCGTTTCGTATGTATTCGCGTTTAATGACACTTCATCTAGCGTGAAATCCTTGGCGAGATCACAAATGAGATAGGAATAAGTTGTATATTTTAACCGAGTGTAAATGTTTATAAAACGTTATCACAAAAATCCTTGGCTACTGCTCTTTCCATAGATTATTCAATGAATGTAGGTGAATGTTTAAAGTCGATATGCAATTGACTAACGATAAAACAAAGAATCCAACATGGCTGATTTGCAATTTCGTTGGTGAAATTGAATCAAAGCGCGTCTATTGGTTAATACGTCATGCGTTCAGAAATATCGCTCAGATGCCTCAGATGCTTATTCGTATATTACATGACCAGCAAAACCTCCGGTTGTAAAAATTAAAATTATCATTTTAAATCGTTTGTATTTCGTATGAAGAGTTTTGAAGTGCAAATAAAAAGGTTTCTGAGTCATCCAGACATTTTTAATTATATTGGGTCATCTAAAAAGTATCCGCGATATTTTATCACTAGATATATCACCATCAACACACATCTAGTGACAAAAAACCGCGGATACTTTTTAGATGACCCAATAATTTAATTATTTTGATCGGAATCCATTCAAATAATTCCATTATATATTTTTCGGTTATTATTCGATCAACAAGATGGATGAGTAACTAACATTGCAAGACAAAATTCTTTGCATCATTCTCTGTAATAGACCTCAAATACTATTGTCATAGGATTTAATTATATCAGGTTTTGAAACATAATACAAAAATTAGAAATTGTTTTATTGTATATTTTAACCGTCACTCCTTCAAAGTATTGTGAAGTGTCTGAACGTAAGTTAAGACACGTTTAATTTTATATATAATTTAACAAAACTGACATTAGATAAAGAAGATATCAAGTATGATTATGAGATAATACGTATGCAACTGTTTTCCATTAATTAAAAAATGCAATAACCAAAATAACCATGCAATATGTCTAATAAAAAACAATACAGAAATAGGAACAGGTAATGCTAATACAGTTTCAATTATTTGCATTTTTTAATTAATGGAAAACAGTTGCATATGTATTATCTCATAATCATACTTGATATCTTCTTTATCTAATGTCAGTTTTGTTAAATTATATATAAAATTAAACGTGTCTTAACTTACGTTCAGACACTTCACAATACTTTGAAGGAGTGACGGTTAAAATATACAATAAAACAATTTCTAATTTTTGTATTATGTTTCAAAACCTGATATAATTAAATCCTATAGGAAATATTGGTTCATCTAAAAAGTATCCGCGGTACTTTGTCACTAGATATATGACCATCAACACACATCTAGTGACAAAAAACCGCGGATACTTTTTAGATGACCCAATACTAACAAGTGGTCTGTTTTCTGTTTCTTGCACTAGACTGTTCTAGATTGCTCTTTCTCTCTTTCTCGCTTTAAATAAATATCAAACGTATTGAGTCAACAAAGTACCGCGGATACTTTTTAGATGACCCAATATTTCCTACATTTCTATTGTGTTTTTTAAAGAAACTATAGGAAAACTAAATAATTCCGATCGGAACTCATTCCAAGCAATTTCATAATACGTCCTGGAATATCAAAATACTAGAGAGATATACTACCTATCGTGTCTAATGGAATTTCCGTGACCGTAGTGCCTTTGTATATTTCGGTCAAATAAATGATATTTTAATATTTAATTAAAAATGTCTGGATGACTCACAAATGTTTTTAATGGTACTTCATAACTCTTCATATGAAATCTTCATATGAACAATTCCATGTACAAACTTTGTTGAATTTAGATCCGGTTAATTATTTCGATCAAGCATATGGTCCAAAAAAGAATGATTAATTGTAATTAATAGAATGACTTACGAACCTTTTTATTTGCATTTCAAAACTCTTCATACGAAATACAAACGATTTAAAATGATAATTTTTACAACCGGAGGTTTTGTCCGATCATGTACATACGAATCAGATGCTTTACATCGTGCACTTGTTTGATACAGATACCAATTAGTAACTTTCTATTAAATTATTTTTTAATTTCAGCGATGTATTCAAAGAATGATATATTAAATTGATACAATATGCATCAAAATGATTAATTAAATACGCATATTATGTATATGTTTCGCCGAGATTAATATCATTCAATAGAAAGTTACTAAGGTCTGTTTTCCGTGGTTAAACTAGTGTACATTTTTAGAACTTAAAGTGAGATAGATATATTGGGTCATCTAAAAAGTATCCGCGGTTTTTAGATGACTCAATACGTTTGATATTTATTTAAAGCGAGAAAGAGAGAAAGAGCAATCTAGAACAGTCTAGTGCAAGAAACAGAAAACAGACCACTTGTTAGTATTGGGTCATCTAAAAAGTATCCGCGGTACTTTGTCACTAGATATATGACCATCAACACACATCTAGTGACAAAAAACCGCGGATACTTTTTAGATGACCCAACATATCAATTATCAACGATGTAAACTACCCTAACAACACAAAAACTTACAGTCGACTCTAAAGGCCTGACTTAGCAAAGTTAACTTACAGTCGATATATCGACGTTTGTGCTGTTAAGATACCCAGCAAACAAGAATAGATTGAAATGGATTCAGATTTTTAGAACTATTGATTCACGAATGTTAAAATGAATGCTTTTCAATTCTGAATGCATTTTTATTCATTTATAGGAATTGCATGGAGCATATCTCTTGCAATTTAAAAATAATATTAGCTTTTTCTGTGCACACAAACATAATTGTGAATACTGTTCAACATTCCTATTCAAAATTTTGAATAGGAAATGCAGTTTTTGAATCCAATTGTATCCAATTGAATCCAATTAAATCCAAAAAAAGCATTCGCTATTTAAAATACACATACGAACAAAAATTTCAATCCATTTAAATTCATTCTCGTTTGCTGAGATGGATGAAGATTCTAATCCAGCTAGCAATCCAGTAGGAAAAGAAGCATCGTGTGAGCCGTAGGCTTTAACTAGAGTCCTAGATTTATAAGAGAAGTGCGATTGGTGTTAAGTGTTCTGATTGGTCATTGCAATCACATGATTAGCAGTCAATGATGAACTTATTCCTGCGTACTTAAAAATGGCAGCTTAATGGATGATTGGTGGATTTCATAGTCTTGCAAACGACGGATTAATATTTTTAGTACTTCTTCCAATATTTTTTAGTACTTTTGCGATACTGACATGAGCGACCGATGGTCGCGCTTCTCTTATAAATCTAGAACAAACCTTAAGCCGGCTCTACATTAGTTGCAATCTGATAGCAAGTTTGTTGCAACAGCCAATTTGAAAGTTGCATTTTGAAATCAACGCTTCATATTGGCTGTCGCAACAAACTTGCGATCAGCTTGCAACTGTAGAACTGGCTTTAGGACGCTACGCAACTATGGTGAAATCACAATTCTATTGAATTCAAAGAAATCCACCAATCGCGTTCGGGTACAATATTGCGCGAATTCTCTAGAAAATCCCCTAGAATAATGCAGCAGGGAGATCAAGTTCGAAACTGTCGCGTTTTGTATATACGAGATAGCGACGTAACGTGATGTTTGACAATATTTCCATAATGCGAAACGTACGAGCGAGATGAAAATGATCGTACGGCCGTGTTTCGGATCTACTTCGATCGCGTATGCGTGTACATGCATCATACATAAAACATCATGCATAAATATACAATAGATGCGCACACCGCGCTGCGCGCATCTTTGGCTCGTTGACATCGCTGGTCGCTCGCTTGAGCACGGTCGTACTAATTATTAATATGGCAGATGTTCGGGTCTTTAGTGTTGTTTAAGTTCGTGAAACTGCGAGTGACAAAACAGTGGGTCCGAGTGGGTCCTGTTACCGAAGGACACTGTCATGTATATGAGATTTTGATCGGTGCACGTCTCTCTCAACGTCCACGTGCGAATCTGTGATTTAACGTGCGCGCGAAAGAGGGAAAGTGCGAGGGAGACGATATTGGCTCGAACGTACAGAATCGCGTACGAACTCCCTCGTCGCCGTACCGAGTGTACCAACATCGCCAACCAACCTCGACGACAACGAGAGGCACATCGACGACGTCTCCGTGTGTGCGCGCGCGCGCGCGCGCGAAAGAGAGAAAGAGAACGAGCGTTTTTCGTTTTTTTTCTTTTTTTTTTTAAACATTCGTCCACTTTGTTTATCGTCAGGAACACAATGGAATTCGTCGCGTTGTGATACGCAGCCGGTGGCGTTTGTCCCAGGTAGTTTTGCTTTTTCCTTTCGTTATTTTCACATCTTACGCACTGTATTATAACCTTTTCGCTCCTCTTTCACTCCCTTTATTCTCTCCTTTATTCTCCTGTCAATTTGTCCTCCGTCCTCCGACAGCGGAGATGCTTGTGTTTACTTGATACGCGCGGCGATTTGCTGCTGTGTTCGCGGAGAAATTGATTTTAGGTGTCTCTTTCTCGTACAGTTTCCGAGAGAAATGAAGCAAATCACGTATCAAGCGTCGTTATTGTGTGCATACTTTTGCAAGTTAGAGCTAGTTTTATTTACCAATAACGCGTGTTATTTTTTTCTTTTTTTCCCCTTCTAAGGGACCATACAAGAAGCTGGACATAACTAGATTCGATGTGACTAGTTGCGTACCGAAATATTGGAAATAAACTTTGTTTTTTTTGGTTATTATTGTGGTATGCATATAAATAGATTCGCATGTGACGTAAAAGTGTAATGTAATTGTGTTGTGATTATGAAGATCTGTTTATAGCGAACCTGACATTGATATTGAATACAATCAATGAATGAAGGTTGACATGTGTATTTGAATCTCAACGATCATTACATAGGCAAAATCAAAGTTCTTATCATAGAGGCATATTTTTTTTCGTGTGCTTCAGATATAAGGAACTTGTACTTGTATATAAATGGCAGGCTTAAACATTAGAGAAGTATATACCTGATTAAAATAATTTTTTGTTTGTTGTTAGGTGTATGCATCATCGTCTCTGTACTGCATTTTAATGTAACTATTACGGAAACGCTGTGCGAAGGAGAAGGTAAGAAGTAAACGATATAATGTATTATATGATAGTCGCTGAATCATTGGAATTCCAGCTAGAAACAGGAATTAATCAAGATTCTTCTTATTTCAGGTTACAAGTGATTACGGATCTTTGTCATGGATCAATGGCGATCTCATGAAATTATTAAGTTTTCAAGTGTTGTGCTAGAGAAACAAAAGTGGATGTGTTAATCAAATCTGCAAGATACGAGTGCTTGGTGTGCCTGCTTGCGGGCAGAAACATTTTTTTAAAAAGTAGTGCCACCAGGCTATGGCCAACTTGAACTTTGAACAACCGCCACGCAGTATTGCGAACGCAAGTCTTACTTCACGTGCTGCCGCTGCTGGGGGAGGTTTGAACACAGTGGCCCTCGCGGGTCATGTCACGCCTACCTCGGGCATGTTCTCAGGCTCGTCCGCAAGTACTTCGAGTACAGCCAATTCAGCGATAGTCGCCACTAACGTTTATCCTGGAGCATCTAGTTCTGGCGGTGGACAGAATAATCATCAGCAACAGCAGCAACTCTCTCCTATGGGCAGTAGAGGACTGTTTGGACAGAGAGCTTTTACTGATAGACGTACGATGCCTGCTCTTGGGTTAGTATATATCTCTCTTTTCTCATATATTTCTGTTCTCTCTCTCTCTCTCTCTCTCTCTCTCTCTCTGTGTGTGTGTGTGTGTGTGTGTGTATGTGTGTGCGTGCGTGTGCAATCATTTCCATCTGTATTGTAGAGCTTCAAATCCAATGGGTAGTATGGGCAGTTTCGGAATACCTCCAAGTCGCAATTACGGATCTCAAGGTGCGGTTAACAATTTCCACTCTGTTTTTGGGAGTGGAGGTGGTGGAGATACAAGTACTCCACCTCTGTTAGATCTCTCGGAGTTTCCCTCCCTAACGAATAGAGGTCAAGGTGATTCTATGCCGCAACCTAGTCCTATGCCAGGGAAACAGCCTTATGGTTAGTGCCAAGAAAACAAAATCAGATTTTTATAATATACACATAACATAATCATAATGCATCACATCTGGTTCGAATCTTTTTCTTAATTAGAAAACTTTTTACATAATTTTGTGAATTTATTTATAACTTCTTTGGTAAAAATTTTTTTCATAATTTTTACACAAATTGGAACATTTTTCAGTAATACTCAAAAATATTCGGAAAGTTTACATCTTCTCTCAGAATTTTTCTTGCAAGTGAATTCTGAAATATTTTGAAATCTCATCCCATAATTAAAAAAAAATATTTTTTATTTTTTAGATTTTATAACATTTCATCAAAAATTATACTTAAAAATTATACTTTAAATTACAAAAATATCTTAGAAATCTTATGATATTTCATAATTAACATATAATGACATAATATATATTAATATATAATGACATAATATACATGAAAACTTCTGAGAAAAGATGTAGATTTTCTGAGAAATGTTCCAATTCGTATAAAAAATGTGAGAAAGTTATAAAATTATATAAAAATTTTGAAAAATTAAATTAATAAAAATTCTGAGAAAAATTTTCATCAGGATTATTTAAAAATAAGATAAATAATCATACTTTCGGTTAAAGTATTATAAAATTGCAAAATATAATACTGTAATGCAATTTGTGTATGTGTGTGTGTGTGTGTTTGCGCGCGCGCGTATACGTGCGTGCATATTTAGGTTTTAAGCTTTTTTCAGATATTTAACATAGATCATGAAAATTATTTTGCTGATGAAATTTTTGTTTGTGCATGTTACAGTTGGAATGGTAAAGCAACCAACATCCGAATCGAGCGAATTTACAATGAGCTCGGAGGATTTTCCTGCATTACCGGGAACGCAGAATCGAGAAGGTCCGTCACCTGGTGGTAGCATGTCTGGTGATAAAAATATTCCTGTAGGACTTGGTCCCGAAATCGGACAAGATGTGCTACAGGCCAACAGAGCACCTGGATCTGAGAAATCTCAGTCTTCTAAAAGAGGCATCCAAACATCGCCCGATGGTAAAATCAAAATAAATTATTAGGTGTTGGAATTAATTCGTAGCGTTTTTAATGAAAGAATGTTATTTATTTCACATGAGTATTAAAAAATACATTAATGAAAGTACTTCCCATCACTTGTAAAACGCTACGAATTAATTCCAACACCTAATAGATAGTTAAGTTTTATCAGAGTTATAATTCTCAACATAATTATTGCATAGGCAAGGTGACGAATATACCTGCAAGCATGGTGAAGGATCAATTCGGCATGGTTGGGCTTTTGACGTTCATCAGAGCGGCAGAGACAGATCCGAACTTGGTATCGCTAGCGTTAGGTCAAGATCTTACTGCATTAGGACTGAATTTGAATTCACCAGAAAATCTCTATCAGAATTTTGGTGGTCCCTGGGCGGAAACTCCGTGTCGACCACAGGATATAGATTTTCACGTACCACCAGAATATCTTATAAATGCCGCAATCAGGTATTGATTTTTCATCCGATTATTTAATTTATAAAGCTATCTGAATTGTGATAAAAAATATTTATCAACTACATATTTGTACAATATTTGAGCTGCTTCCAAATCTTTGATACTTTACTACTAAGCAGATATTAAATGGAAATTATTTTATCGAATGTATATTATATTTAAAAAAATATATTAAAACAAAATTATTTTTGGAATTGAAATAGAATAATTGTTATTATTGTATAGAATTGTGTGTATTTCATTTGTAGAATATATTCTATTATTGCACAAATTATTTTATCTGAAGAAAATTACATTTTTTATATTTATTTTATAGGGATAAGCTAGCGCCAGTTAAACTAAATCGATATAAAGATGATCTACTGTTTTATATGTTTTATACAAATGTTGGGGATGTATTGCAATTAGCTGCTGCGGCGGAATTGTAAGGAAAAACAAAATTGATTTTTATATTTGAAAATATTAATGCGTACGTACGATTTAATTTAAATTTTTTTTGTATGTGATATGAAGATACAGCAGAGAGTGGCGATATCATATGGAGGAAAAAGTTTGGATAACGCAGGCACCAGGTCTGGGAATTGTAGAAAAGACGTCGACATATGAACGTGGTACTTATTACTATTTTGATGCGCAAAACTGGAGAAAGGTAGCTAAGGAATTCCATTTGGATTATGCAAAACTAGAAAGTAGACCTCATCTTCCTTCGAACTTTCACCAAACTCAGCCTTGACTACAGGTGTGTGTATTCAGTTTTATTTCCCTTTTCTTTTACATACATATCACATGTAACGCACACACATGCGTATATTTGATTCAAGTATTAATAAAAAATAGTAGAAAAGAAGTCGAAGCTTTCAATATCGTTCCATTATATAATTTTCTGATTGTTTCTCTATGATTATTCTGCAAGAAAATACAATAGAGATAATCTTAAAGTTATAATAGAGATTTTATTATCTGTTTTAGACTTGTCTGCAGACCATTGTGCTGTCTTTAAGCTGGAAACGAATCAGCTATTGTATAAATGAACAAATTTAATAATCTTTAATAAAAACATAAAATTTGAAGAGTAATAAAAAGAATTTTTTAAATCATTAAATTAGGTACCTCTTCGCCTCGCTATCGGTCATAATCCATTATCGACTGTCATTATTTCTTACCATAATAACTTTCTTCCTCTTGCAATTGCGATATTTATTATATTCTCATGCCTTCGTCTTCTTCCATAATACGTTATAATCCATATTATGATGAATTTCTTAATTTTTCCGCTTGCGTCGCAAGATTAATTATATCTTCTGTAGCATTTATGGTAAAATGTTCAATGTAATTTCGACTGTTTTTTTCAGAATCTTCTAAGAAATATCTGCAGAAAAGCAATCGTGCAGAAAAGTAATAGTTTGTGTGTGTGTGTGTGTGGGTGTGTGTGTGTGTGCGCGCGTGCGCGTGCAGGGGAGAGTGGCCTAAAAAAAAAAAAAAACCGTGTTCGACACACGAACCGTGTTCCAAATAGAACCTTTTTAAATTAAATGAATACGATTAAACGGATTTGTGTCTAATTTATTCCATTCTCCCTTATATATATGAATATCAAAGAGCATAGAGCATGGACTGCTCGATTTTATCTAAGTAGTATGATCGACAAAAATGAGAAAGAAGGACCGTGGAAGATGGTCAGTCTGTTGTGTCTTTCTATTTAACGATATAACGAGAGAGAAGGAGATTGGCCGTTTTTCACGGTCTTTCTTTCTCTCTCTCTCTCTTTTTTGTCGACCATACTACTTAGATCCGATCGAATAGTTCATGCTCTATGTCTTTGATGTATATATACACAGGATGATCCAGACCACCCCGATGGGCCGGCACATACTTACATATTCCTTATGAAAAAGTGAATAGAAAATATCAATAGCAAAATGTGATATCAATAGTTTTTAAACGGTGAGTTCTAGATGTCCAATCACAGAGTACGAAATTGGCGCCGTCAGGAGCGGCGCAACTAAACAGCTGGCCGTGCGAACGCTTTGATGAGTATCGTCATCGACGAGATACTATTAAAAACGATCGCTTATGGCAATTCGCGTGTTAAAATTTAAGTGATTAAGGCCCAGTTGCACCAATGTCACTTTGACTTTAAGCAAGACTTAAAACTCTGTCTCGTTTTAAAGCTAAAAAGAGACAGAGACAGAAAGAGTTTTAAACCTCGCTTAATATCAAAGTAACGTTGGTGCAATCGGGTCTAAGAATAAGAAACTAATAATACGATACTGATTTATTAGTTTTGTAGATACGTTTAAAACTTAATATTTGATTTTGATTTGAAACTTAATTTTAATGTTATCATCCGGGTTGGATTATCATTAGAGGATGATAACTGTAGAGAAAAAAATTGTAATTTTTCGGCAATATTTAAGATATTATAGCATTAAAAATATGTATACTTATTTATACAATATTTATATAAAAAAATTCTAAATTTAATAATATATTATCGAAATATAATTATGTTAATAATCATGAATTTTTATTAATTGTCGGTAACGTCATTGTTCTTCAATTATCCTCGGACTCCATTGATAGTTATGAAAATTTGTCTAGGGCCGACGGTCTTTAATACAATAGTATCTCGGTGATATCGCTAAACGGTACGAATGAGTATTGCAATGGTTCGTAAAGCCTCTATATTAACATTTATTACAATATTCTTAAACCGATTGAGTCCAATTTAATTGATAAGGAGTAATGTCAATTGCAAATTAATAAAAAGGATTTTTGAAATATGTTTTAATAAATAAATATAAATTTATAAATAAAATAAATATTAATTATATTATCCAAATAAATATCAAATATATTTCAAAACTCTTTTTTATTGACCTTATTATGATATATAAATGATTATCGAATTTGCAATTAACATTACTCCTCATCAATTAAATCAGATTTTCATATTTAAGAAGAATATCGCAATACGTAAATGTTAATGTAGAGATTTCACGTGATATCGTGCTGTTTAGTGATATCTATCAAAGTGTTCGCGCGACTGGCTGCTTAGTTGTGCCATTCCTGATGGCGCGAATTTCATATCCCATGATTGAACATTTTCTAGAGCTCATCGTTTAAAAACTGATATAACATTTTGACATGTTCAATTCACTTTTTCATGAGGAATATGTATGTGCCGGTCCGTGCGAGGTGTTAGATCACCTTGTATATATACATATACAAGATATCCAGAAAATCGCTCGCAATACTTTGGGAAATGATTCGGAATACAAAAAGATGGAAAAAAGACTATATAAATATAGGTTCGGAAATAAGTCGTTTATGAGTTATAACCACTTTTATGTTAAAAAAAATTGTAATTTATTTTTCATAAAAAATCATAATATATAATATTTAACAATGTTTTAACATAAATAACTATATTTCCGACTATTTTGGCATTACCCAGAATATACCACGTGAAAGCACAGTCCGTTTGACATCCCTCTTTTTTTAATTTTTTTTATGAAAAAATTTTTTTACTTTACTAAAGGGATGTCAAGTGGATTATGCACGTGGTGCATCCTGGATAACGCCAAAATAGTACAAAATGTATTTATTTATGTCAAAATACTATGAAATAAATTATGATTGTGATTATGAAAAATAAATTACAATTTTTTAACATAAAAGTGATTATACTTCGAAAACGACTTATTTCCGGAGCGATGTTTATATAGCTTTTTTTCCTTCTTTTTTCCTAAATCACTTCTGAAAGTATTGCGGGCGATTTTCCGGATATTTTGTATACATATATATATACAAAATATATTATATATATATACATACACACACACATATATTGAGTATCGATTTTTTCATATGTACCTATAGTTAACCATTATGCCGCAACTATTTGCCACTCCGCGTGGTGAAGGATCAGCCATCCAATTTATTCGCCACATCACAGCTCCGTTGCGTAAATGGAAATTAGCTGCATAAAACAATATACAAAATGTATAGAAGATATTTATCTTGTAATACTTGTCTCGCTCTTTAGAAATACTTCTATATTCACAAATTGATTATGAAAGAAAAAAGCAATACGGAACATACCGACAGTATTTAAAGCATAGCTACGTCTTTTTTCTTTATACAAGTACCAAGCACATGCTCGAAGTAATGGTTCTTTTAAAAATTCTGACAATTGCTTGTCTCCTGTCCATAGCGATGTGTCCAAGATCTTTTTTAAGGTTGATATCAAATTTTTTGTTTGCAAAATATCTTTTGCAATTTGATATTCTTGTGTGGTAAATATAAATTCCATGTCTATGGAATAAATAAATAAATAAATAAATAAATATATATATATATATATATATATATATATATATATATAAAATTTCTATTTATTTTTCAATAGTCTGCATTTACCTTGTTTCAATTTATCAAATAACCAAGTCTTAAAATTTGGTATTGGTGATAAGCTAGATAATTGTCGTATAGCTGGAAATTCAGTTGTGATCTCGCTGACTACTTCTTTTATCAAATAATTACCGAGTTCAATCCCCTGTGTAAAAATATCTTTTTATAGCCATATATATTTTTTATAACAGAGTTGTATAATTTATGTTAACCTGGAAAGTATAATTGACATTTTCATTACATAAATCAACTACCTGCAATCCTTTCTGAGTAGATACTATAGAATAAAATATTGCTGCTTTTATTTTTGATTTGTCTTCCTCTAAAAAAGTTATATATTTCTTAGCGCTTCCCAAAATTCTAGTTTCAGCTTCTTCAATACCTTTTACACTATCTGTAATATGATACAGAGGAATATTTAAAAAAATTTACTAATTACTCTTCTCTTTCTTTTTTACACGAAACAAATTCTGTTCGGAAAATTTTGAAAACAAATTTCTTTGCATTTGAATAACCTGGTATAACATCACATAATGCTGTATGCAACACAACAATAGGTTCTCTTGGCATGGATGGATGTGTAAATATGTAACATCTTCTATATGGCCCAACTCTGCGTTTCAAGTCCAACCAATTTCTCATAGGATGTATAGCTTCGTAATCAGAGACCTTTAGATTTTTGAGTGGAGAATGAGCACGAGAAATCAGTTAGAAATATAGAAATTGAAAATAGATATAATTATGGAAATGAAATATATCAGAACTATAATTACTTTCTGCAATATATCGCATGAACTTTCCCAGGTTATTCGTTCCATATGTAAGAAACCCACGGAAAACCAGAGTAAAAGCAAATCTCGTAATGTATGATTTAGTTGTTGTACTGTTATGCTTTCATCTGGATCTTTCATTTCTGATATTAGTTGCTAAGAAAAGTAGAAATAATATAATCAGATAGATATAACAATAATTTAACCCTGATATCTATAATAAATGTCACTTAACAATAAGATTTGTATTACAAGCATCCATATATAAAGATTTCTTTATTTTGCTTACCAGAACATCAGTTCGTAGGTCAACCAAGAATTTGACGCCATGCTGTAATCTTCCTATAATAACGAATAACCAATGATAAGCAGGAGTGAGAATATTCTTCAAAGCTCTCTCATGGACAATCATCTGTCGTTCATTTTCAGGCTATAATAGAACGAGGCTACAGATACTTTGCATAAATGAAACATTAATTAATATATACATATTTCCAATAACAGTGGTTATATGAAAATAAAAGTTGATACATTTGGAATATATGTACATATACGATACAATTTGATTAAAGTATATAACTCACACAAAACAGTGTACCTCAGTGCAGACCAATTTCTTGGCCACTTGACATATATCGTTGTGTTGTACAGCATATCGTGAAGCTAACGTACATAAAATCCATTGGCGATTATCTTTATTGCTTTCAGTATAGCTGATGCACAGTGCATGTGCCTTGTTCTGCAAATATACTTTTAGATATACAATTTCTGCGAAGGAAAAAGGAGACGGTGCTTTATTGCAGTGAGTTGAGAAATATGATTTGTAACCTCTATGATCCAATTGCTGATCTTAGTGTCCTTAAATTTAAAAATTTCCTGCAGTTGTTCGTCCACATGTAACGTATTATTTGCTTCGGCATGTAAAGTGGAGGATGATATTCCATTATATTCGCGTTTGATATTATGCTTCAACGTGTTCGCGAGTCTGCAGCGATAAACAATCGGTAGAAGTTCAAAGGTAAGCTTTCTTAACATATCGTAATTAATTATAAGAGATGAACTGAGGAACAGATACTTGATTTTCAACAGGTGTCATATGTACTAAACATTCATCAGCTGATATGACTTGTCAGATTTCTTTTTTTTTCTTCTTCTTCTAAATTATAAAGCCGTAAACACAATGCGAGGCAACAGCAATAGCGGAACAGAGGAATTCAACATACAGGAATGCATATGTCACGCACATAGAAACACAGAATAAGGCAATAGCGATTTTCCGATGAGTTAAAATTCTGCGTCTATCGCCTACCTAAAGATATCATTTCATGCAGCGAAGATCCCCTCCTACCCCTCTCCCCACTCCGTCGATTTGTGCGAAAATGCGAAGCGAGCGAAGCTTCGCTCAAAGTTCGATATTGTTCAACTACGAGCAAAGGAACACAGCCTGCTATATACCTGCTTTCTCTTTAATATTATAATATTATTTTAATATATTATTATATTTATTTTTGTATATAAATAGTAATATAATAAATAAAGATAACAAAGTACCACGGATACTTTTTAGATGACCCAATATATTATTATTACTATATTATTATTATATTTATATTATTTTAAGTAATATAAATATTATGAAAATGAAGATCTTCTAATTCTAATTTCGGGATTGATGCAAAGTAAAAACTGCGCTGTCATTGCGATTTTCGAAGATAGGCGCTATCCAACATTTTTTTTTTAACATATTTAGCCGTTTTTATTTTCCATATAATGTAATACAGCAGCTGCTGCAGCTGTATGTTGTCTTTTAATCTCCAATTCTACAACAATTGAAATTGTGTACTGTGTTTAAACTGCTTCATGTAATTTAGATATTCGTCCATATCTTTTTGCCTGCAGTAATCTTTTTAACGCAATGATTCTATATAAAGATGTGTTTCGCGGGTTTTCTCTGTGTCTAGATCCATTCTTGGAATGCCAACGTTTCGTAAACCTTGCAATCCATCAGGGCGAGGAGCTTATACAGTATCAGGCTGCTCCTCGCCCTGGGGATCGATTCTGTATCTTGAAACGAGGTGAAAATTATAAAAGTGAACGAATTTACTAGAATACTGATAATTTCATTGGTCAATACCTAGTAAATTTGCTACAGAATTGATCCCCTAATGAAGTGGACTGCAAGATTCACGAAACGTTGGCGTTCCAAGAATGGATCTGGACATGGAGAAAACTCGCGAAAGGCATAATCTTTATATAGAAAGCACCCGTGAAAGTCCCAAGAATATTATCACAATTTTATCTTGATTATTTATAATATGAACCATTAATTCTGGGCAATTTATAGATTGAATCGAACATCAAGGAAATATATAATCAATGTAAATACCTTATTTATGGAGTATATTCTACATAATAATTCTTAATAACTAATTGTAATAAGGTGAGCTCACCGGAACGCCGTTATCGGAAGGAAGAACAAATTACAAAATCCTATCCACTTTAAGAAAAGAGAAACGATTTCCAAGAACTCCAATGTTTTAGTTTTTCCTTTCTTACGCTTCTATCAACTTTATTTAGTAACTTTACTCGAACTGAATTATTAATTAAACTTGCAATATAACTAACTAACATGTATAAATATTCATAAACATATATATCTAATTATATATGAAATATGTTTATAAATGTTTATACATGCTTCTTTTTTTTGTAAAATTCCTTTTTAGCGTAACAAAATTAATAATAATAATAAAAAAATGAAGAATAATTAAGAGGATAATTTTCGCATTATTTATTTTAAAAGAAATCAAGTTTGGACAAATGTAAAAAATTATTGATACATAATTACATGTAAAATTATACATAATTATGTACGAATAATTTTTTTTACATTTCTCTAGATCTTTTCTAAAACAAACAACGCGAAAATTATTCCTTTAATTATTTTTGACATTTTCTCATTATTATTTTTTTTACATTAAACAATAATTTTATAAAAGACAGGAGAATGTATGAACATATATGAACATCTTTATATAAATATAATTATATATGTTTACATATGTTTATGAGTATTTATTATATATTTATGTGTATTTATATATTGGTCATCTAAAAAGTATCCGCGGTTTTTTGTCACTAGATGTGTGTTGATGGTCATATATCTAGTGACAAAGTACCGCGGATACTTTTTAGATGACCCAATATATTTATATATTGAATATCCCAGATTGACCGTCAAATATTTTGTGTGCTTTTTTATTCTGTTTATGTGTGCTTAATCTTGAAGTAAAGGGTGTCTCAAAATGATCTAACATTTTAAATTGCGCGCCATTTTTTTGCAGCGAACGTAACGTACTAACCTTTAACAACTGGCATCAGGAAGTATTGAGGTTTAGTCATGGAGAATTACACGATCGAGCAACGCATAGAAATTGTGAAGTTATTGCAGACGAAGTTTTATGATCGTGTTATTTCGCGCCGCGGCGATGTGAATTGGCCACCAAGATCATGCGATTTGACGCCATTGGACTTCTTTCTTTGAGGTTTTCTGAAAAGAAAAGTGTATGCCAATGATCCACAGACCATTTCGGAAGAATTTTGAAGGAAGAAATTAGACGTACCATTAATGAAATTAGTCCGCAATTATGCCAAAATGTCATTGAAAATTTTGTCAAAAGAATGAACGTTTGCAAACAGTCGAGGCGGCCATTTATCGGATATTGTGTTCCACATATAACCTCCATGTTTGTACTTTATATTAAACTAAAAATATGTGTACTTTTCAAATAAATAATATGTTTTATTAATACATTAAAATGTCAGATCATTTTGAGACACCCTTTAGATGGAAGAATATATTACGGTCTATATGCGATATCAGATTGCTATGCTATTATCTATCACTGTTCTTGTCGTTGTTGCCTCACAGTAGGCCTATTCTTTTTGGCTGAATTTTTGTACCAGTTCATCTTTCTTCTTTTCCTCTCCAGGAAAAAAGAAAAGGAAGAAAGATGAACTGGCAAAAGCCAGCTAAAAAGAACAGGGTATCAATCATGAAATTTTATCTCTAGAATGGAAAGTAAACAGTAAAAATTTTAATCAATCAAGTTAATGGGGAAACTTTTCACTTTTCATAGGAAAAAAATTTCATGATTGATATCCAGGTCTATTGTATCTAGGACTTAATGGCTCACGCTGCAGAATCTTCTACTTCTTTTTTTTTCAAGAGAGTCTTCCTCTATTATTTGATTAGCTCTGATTAGCCCTTTCATCGAAGTTCACTTGGTCAGTTTTGTTTCCTAGACGCTTTCAACTTTCCAGAGGCAAGTTCTAAAAGGCATTGAGCTGAAATAGTAGATAGAATCATGATGGAAGGAATAGCTTGGTGTGTGTAGTTTGCAAGCATCTCTCTCTGAATCTCCGCCGTCTCTGTTATGAATGTCGATAAGAGAGGTCCGAGTGCAATATTATTTTGACTTTAACTGAGGCTTAAAACTCTTCGTCTCGTTTTAAAGCGAAAGAGAGATAGAGATAGACAGAAAGAGGAGGAAAGCGAGGGGGAGAGGAGAGAGAGAGGGGGATGGAGGGAGAGAGAGAGAGAGAGAGAGAGAGAGAGAGAGAGAGTTTTAAGCCTTGCTTAAAGTCAAAGTAACGTTGATGTAACTACCTAAAGCTGCCAACTGTGAAACGCTAAACATGGAGCGATATTTATAGTCTATTTTTATTTTAAAACTCTTAAATAATGTCTTAAAATGCTAATACAGTCCTCGGATTGACTTATGACATCTTAAAATTGTACTTAAGATAGTCTTAAATGCAAGAATTGACTATGAATACCGGCCTGTTTTGCGTAGTAAAATTATATACTGAATTTTTCCTTTAACACTTTATATTTCTTTTTCTATAGAAAGAGAAACATTGTTCGGACAAGATGGAGTCGGCGTAGTTTTGAACATTCTAGGAGCGCGCGCGTGTCATCTTCCGCCGCGCCGATCGACGGCGCGTTTAGTTATTATTAGGTGTTGGAATTAATTCGTAGCGTTTTTAATGAAAGAATGTTATTTATTTCACATGAGCATTAAAAAATACATTAATGAAAGTACTTCCCATCACTTGTAAAACGCTACGAATTAATTCCAACACCTAATAGATGAACAACAACATGTCGTGACGGTTTATTGTATTCCCCCCCGCTTGTTGCACTCAGACAGCCTGTTCACGATTCAACAAGGTTAAATCTTAAATGTATCAACGAGTTAATTTCCACTTTCTCATGATTACTATGAAATAAATATTGTTTGTAATCCTAAAAATGTATAATGAAATTCTTTCGCGCCCTCCCGCGTCCCGGATCCTAATCTTTAATCTAACAAACATAAAGGACATAAAGTGTGTCTGTCGCATTTAGACTGTCTTAAGTACAATCTGAAGATAATAGTCTTGAGACTTCCACGGATGCTTTTTACATAAAGATTATGCGTTTCGCGGGTTTCCTCCGTATCCAAATCCATTCTTGGAATGCCTACACTGGAGATGTAATAAGTCAATCCGAGGACTGTAGCATTTTAAAATATTATTTATTAAGATAATATTATTATTTAAGATAAAATAAAATTTTAAAATAAAGACGGACTATGAATATCGCCCCATATTTTTAGCGTTTCACAGTTGACAGCCTTATATAGTCTCTTATCAGCATTCATAGACAGAGACGGCGAAGATTCAAAGAGAGATGCTTGCAAACTGCACACACTATATTATTCCTTCCGCCATGGATAGAATTGCCCCTCCCCCTGGGAGGGAGAGTGAGGGGGAAGAGAGGGAATGCGAGTGCACACGCCCGCGCGCAATAGCGACCGCGAACCATATTGAATATGTGAGATCGGATTATGAATATTAACCTATATATGAATAATAAACATGTCACAAATTTCAGTAAAGAGGTATTTTGCTTATATTTCTTTATTTCAATATTTTATGTGATGCGACACTTCTTTGGCGCTTGTCACACAAGGTATTCTAAAATTGTTTATTCTATAATTTTTGATAAAATTTTAAAATATTTTTTTAGAAATTATAGAGTTATAAAGAAGTATACAGTGAAGTTACATATTTTTTAATATATCAGTTGAATACTAAATGTTCCAAAAAGAATATAAACTTTCTCAGTATTTTTTGTTGGTATCATAATTCATATAAAAATTCCGGGAAAACTTGGCATCAGGGCGCAATAAAACGTGAGACTGCTACCACTGTGCGATTGCCGCGCAACCTTCGTGACTCCCCCATAAACATCTTATCTTTTTCGCGATCTGTGTTTGTTTCTATTCGCTTCATGCTTAGCACGTATGAGATTAGAGATT